CTGGTTCCAGCAGGGCGGCGGGCTGGGCTGGGCTGGGCTGGGCTGTGCTCGGGGTGACTGGGAGGGAGGGTTTGGGGGGGCTATGGTGAATTTTGGGTGGCTGTAACTCACCCACAAGCACCTCCCAGCACCTCCACTGCCTGCCTTGAGCACAGCCCGGCCCCAAACCCCGCCGGGAAGAGGCTAGCAACGGCCTCAGACCCCAGGCGACGCCCAGCCCACAAGCCCAGCCAGGCCACACGCCCTGCGCCCTCCCCAGCCGCGCCGCTCAGACCAGCTGCCCGCGGCGCAGTCCTGCACCCTGCCCCGGCTGTGCAGCACCTGCCCCAGCCCCACTGCCCCCCTCAGCGCTGCATGCACACCCCTCCCCACTCCTGCTGCGCCTGCCCTACCTGCTGTCCCGCTGTGGGACGAGGGGGCTAAGCCCCATTAGCCCCAGCCTTCCACTGCCCACGTCTGGCGCAGTCATCACAAGTGCGGGCCCTGGGACTGATTCTGGAGCTGCCTGGGAGGGTGGGCTGGCGCGAGCTAGGAAAGCAGGGGCTGCATTTACATCTCAAAGCAGGACCCGAGAGGGGCAGAGACTGGAGCACCGAGAGGGGCCAGAGGTGCTGGTTGCAGCCGTGTTGGTCCAAGGACACAGGCAGACAAGGCTCTTTGGGTAAATCCGATATTTTTTATTAGAGTAACTAAAACAGTTGGAAAAAGTCTTCGTTGCAAACTTTCAGGTACAAACAACTTTGTCAGGCTGAGGAAGCGTTTGCAGCCCGGGTGCCTTCCAGTGACAATGAATCCACCCGCAGATAAACCTCACAGGAGCAGAATAACTGATGAACTGATGAACGTGCTCCTGCAGCAAACCCCCCAGGCAACGCGGGGCGATGCCCGGCCCTTCCCGCACTTGTGGCTCCGGGGTCCCTCTCCCTCTCCCTGGGCTCGGCCCTGCAGGCGTCTCCCATGGCCCCGTGCCTGGGCTCCTCTCCCCGCCCTCGGGCACTCGCTGTGTGGGGGCAGCTCCTGGCACAGGCACCCCCATGGCCGGGCCAGACCCAGCCCGACTCACCCAAGGCCGGTTCTCACTCCCGGGTCTTGTTTTGGGAAACACGGCGGGTGCAGCCCCGTGCTCTGGTCCGGGACCCGGTGTCGGGGGATACGGGGTGATGGATAAGTGCACGGGGTGCTGCGCGGAGGCCGGTATCGCTGTGCTCCTGGGCTGGAACCGGTGTGGAGACAGTCGGTCCCTTTGCCTGCGAAGAAACTCTTATACGTGGGCTGTCTGCTGTTTTCACGTTAGGATTCGTGTCAGAGCAAGGCTTCTCTGATTCGTGCCAGAGCAAGGCTTTCCGCACAATCACGTGTCTGGTGCGGGGCTGGGACCAGCACAGCCGTAGAAGCAAATGCTGCGGGGGGGCAGGCTGCCGGGCAGGGGCTTGCTGGGGGGCACGATGCCCAGCTGGAGGTGGGAGCGCTGGTCCTGGTGGGTGCTAGTCAGCGCCTGGGGCTGGGGACGGGTTCGGCCTGGGGTAGTACCCGGGCGGAGGTAATATGTAGTTACCCTCACACTTTCCCCTCAGTGGGAAGATCTTGGGTTTTCTCCCACGCTGTGGACCCGGGAGACCCCTCCCTGGCTTGCTTCTGCGTCCGCACAGCTGAGGGCGAGGGAACCGCGGGGGCATCCGGACCCAGGACGCCCACCAAAGGGTTTGGAAGCATCTGAAGCCCCAGGCAGGGGTGGAGGATGTTGGCCGTCGTAGGGCCGTAAATGTTTTTTGAATGACTCATGGATTTGGAAATGATCAGGCTTGAAACAAACATTTTTTCCCTTAAAAGAAAAAAAAGCACATGCCTGGCTGGCTGTAACTCACCCACAAGCACCTCCCAGCACCTCCACTGCCTGCCTTGAGCACAGCCCGGCCCCAAACCCCGCCGGGAAGAGGCTAGCAACGGCCTCAGACCCCAGGCGACGCCCAGCCTGGCCCACCCGGCGACCGTGGCCAGCTCTTGTGGGCCCTGGACTGGGGGTGGGTTGATGCGGGGGTCATGCTGCTCATGGGGGCCCAACACCGGGAGACCCTGGGGCGGGGGCAGGAGCTGCCTGGGAGCCTCCCCATGCTAGGGCCGGGCCACGACGGTGCTGTGCTCTGGGGGCAGGGGCGGGGGGGATGCCGGGGGCTGCGTCAG